TGCCAGGGTAAGGAACCTGGTCAGGGGACCCACGGGACGGGGGTAGCGTCAGCAGTGTTGGGCCGGCAGCGTGCTGGGGACAGGTCGTACCTGGAAGTCCTGCAGAAGAACTGTGAAATGGGTAAAGTCCCAGCAAAGCTCTGGTCCAGGCGGGATTTTCTGCAGGAGCCTGCTGCCAGCCTGGGATGGCACTGTCTGGGTAGCGCACCCCTTCGTCCTGGGCACTGACCTACAGCATCTCCCTTCTCCAGGGTGGGAGGTCACAGCCCGGTGCCCCTTTAGCCCTGCCTACAGCTGTCTCTGCTCGCTGGACCTCAAGGGCAAGGCTATCTTCTCCGAGGACCTCCCCACCAAGCTCTTCAACCCCCCTGGGCAGCAGCTGCCTGCACGCCGGACCCAGCCCCGAAAATCTTGGGACATGTAGAAGTAGACAAAGGGATCAAAGCAGTTGTTGAAGGCAGCAAGCACCAGTGCCAGGGTGTACCAGATGTAGGTGGTGTTGTGGCACCCCGTGGCCTCCAGCATGCAGTGGATGAACAGCAGCACGTTGCTGGGGGTGAAGCAGAGGATGAAGACTAGGAGGACCAGGGCCAGGACACGCACCACCTGTGCATAGCGTCTCCCCTTGGCCAGCAGCCGTGCCAGGATGCAGCTGTAGGAGATGGTCATGAGCACGAAGGGCAAGCCAAAGCCCAGTCCCACCAGGGAGAGGAAATAGTGGACGAGGAACACGTGGTCATCCTTCCCTAGAACATCATGGCACGTTGTGATGTTCAGGCTTGAGATGTGACTTATCTGGGGGCGCAAAAGCAGAGGGCTCATGCCCAGCCCCACCACCAACCAGATGCCTGCGCAGACGCCCGCCTTGGCCCATGCCCAGCTGGACCCCTTCCACAGGAATGGGTGCACCACAGAGATGTAGCGCTCCAGGCCGATGCAGGTGAGAAAGAGGATGGAGCTGTACATGTTCCCGTAGAAGGCGGCCACCATGGCGCGGCACAGGTGGTCCCCAAAGAGCCAGTGATTGCCCAAGAGGTGGTAGGAGATCTTGAAAGGCAGCAGGAGGACAAAGAGCAGGTCGGCAATGGCCAGGTTGAGCAGGAAGAGGGTGCTGGAACATCTCCTGAAATTGGTCACCAGGACCCAGCAGGCCAGAGCGTTGGCTGGCAGCCCCACAAGCAGGACCACGGAGTAGAGGGCAGGGAGAAGGCGAGTGGTGAGGGTGCTGTTGAGAGAAGCTTCCACAGAGGCCCCTGGGCACGTGACTTCTTCTTGGGGAGTGAGGGAGATCAGGACTCTCCCTTTGCCGCGCACTGCGGAGGACACAAGGCATCAGGCTTGGCCGAGAGCCCCCTCCCACCACCCCTTCCCACTTGGGACCACGCAGGAGCCATCACCCCTCCCTGCAAAGCCTTTGGCAAACACAGGAGCTGGCGACTCCCTGCCCCATTCGCAGGACCCCCTAACATCCCTCCGCCCTCGCCGCGCGGAGCTGCGCCACGTCCTGCGCCCGCCACGCCGCTTGCCCGGCAGTGCCACCACAGTGGTGCCAGCCCGGTCGGGTGCCCTGACCGCAGCCCAGACGGGCTCCGCTCCCACGCACCGCTGCGGGGATGCGCGGCTCTGCCGACATCCCTTTTCCTACCGAGCCCAGACAACGGTCCCCTGCAACGCAACGGGACCAGAGGGGGAACAGGAAACCCACGCCAGGACAGGGTCAGGATATGGCCACCAGGGATGGGAGATGTTCTCCCATAGGGGCTCCTGCCTCCTCCTCCTCCTCCTCCTTCCAGCCAGCCCCCCCACCACAGCCGGGGCTGCGCGGGCTTCGCCGTCTTCCTGCGGTCAGAGGCTTTTCGCGGCGCGCTCAGAACAAAAGCGAAGAACAGGAAGGTCCCGGCACGCCAGGCAAACAACTCCGGATCAAATCCCCT